TAATTAATTTTGTTTTGATATTGTAGGTAGTTGTATCAAAAACTTCAGCAAAAAAAATCTTTTTGAAATGAATCACTTACATAATTGCTATTGAATAAAAATATGTTGTTTCTTATCAGATTTATTTCACGTGAGTAGTTCATTCTTCTCCATGTGAGTTACATGGCTGATAAGACTGCGAATAGTCCTGATGAATTAGGTTGGGTTAAGTCCAACGTGAGCGGGTCTATTTGACCCTCCACCGCAACCCGCAAGGGTTTATTGTAGCTCACACCTATTCACACTCGACCAAATGAACCCAGCTTCAAAACGAAGCCGATTAGTTTGTATGGTGAGTGGTCTTTTAGGTCAGATGGTATGAGTACGGCTCTACCGAACTCTAAAAACCTGATTCGGTCCCTAGCCGGGCAGGCAAAAGGTATGTGCTCTGCTGTTTCATCATTTTCCAAGCATAGGTGACACACATTTTCATCCGACAGTCTAAGTCTCTGCATATGATGATACAAATAACAGTGTTACTGTAGACCAACAACTGTTGGTCAAGCTTTAAAGGATGAATAAACGCCTTGGAGTGAGCCGATCCTGAAAGATTCTGCTAGAAGTCCATAAATCTTCTTGTCATCCAGGTGCTCAATCTTTATTTGGCAAAGCCTAAAGCGATGCCAATGACATGTTCTGGTCCGATGAAGCTGCTTGCAACACCCCTGATGAATTAAGGAGGTATTAATACAGCTCACGCAGAACATAATTGTCGAAGTTGATGAGACCAAAAAACTCGTGCCAATTTGATACAAATTTTAACTCACTTGATAACTTTGTCACAAATTATCTATAGTTTCAAAAATGAATATATTTCGAAATATTTCAAATAAAAAACTCACTATATACAGTGTGTGGCAATGAGAAAAATGCAAAAACAGATCGACTTTCAATTAATTGGGTACATCGATCTCATAACCTTAACTGCCATACCTTATTTTCCCTCTCAGTAACCACCATTCATTTAAGAAGTGGAAGTACTAAGTGTGACCCACCACTTCGTATCTTTCCAATTCAAATCATAAGTCATTCGAAATAATGTGCACAAGTCACAAAATGCGCAAAAATTGAAAAAAATGTATATTATAATAACCCAACTCAAGAGAACACCAGATAGACAAGTTGAATAGTGAACAATCACCTGGATGAATCACTTATAAAAATAACTTTTCAATGATGTGTTATATCTAGTACTTTCCCTCTTCAAATGCAAAGAAGGGTGATGTTTAAGAGGCGGGAAAGGAGGTATGTTAATTGAGGTATAACTCACTGTATAAATCGTCTATAACAAAAAAAATACATAATTGTTTTGGTTTTACTGTGTAGAAAAAAATAGAGAAGAAATTAAAATGTACATAACAAAATGTTTATTGAATGACATTTTTTTAAATAAAAACAATTGCGTTATTTGATGAGCTAGATAATTTATGACAAAAAAAATGGTTTCAAGTGGTAGAAAAAATGGTTAATTGACTTATTCGTCTTTAAGCAATAATTTTTTTTTTTCAAACAATTGTTTTTCAATCATAATTTTCATCAAAGAATATGTTTTCAACAATTTTTTCAAACAACAGCAGATACAAAAAAAATCATTTTCACGTAGCTTCTGATCACAAAAAGTATTGATAGTGGTATTGGCAAAAAAATTATTTCCAATAATTAATGAAGTTCTTTGATTTTCAACAAGTGAATTGTTGATTACAAATTGAAAAATAATAATTTATGTATATTTCAAAAGAAAATATATTCTTCTCCAAAGGAGAAAACAATCTCGAATTTGTAATTCAATAATTATCGCATTTGCAATGTTTCTGTTTGAGTAGAACATAATTGCTACCTATGCATAATTAACTGGAACGTCATAATTGTTGACCGCGGATTACTCTTCATTTATTCATCTAGTAGGTGCCAGGATTTTTTAAATTCTCAATTTTGATATTAAATAGGTTGAGAGAAATTGAAGGTCCAAAATCGGCGTGTCTTGCGAAAGCCAGATTTCCCTTTCAGGACGTATTTTCAACCCTCTGGGAAAATTATGAATATAGGTCCTACAGTTCCGAGAGAGAGGACCGTGTTGGATACATTTCCTACTCTTTTCGAATCTTTTTTCAGATTTGAAAAGTATCAAATAGTTTTTGAGATATTTGTAAGTGCTCATATTTATCGGAGGTGGAAAAAAAAGTTTTAACTGAAAGGCACTTCATGACCAGACCAGTTGATTTGGTTTACGATATTTATATTTTGTGGAATTATTCTTCTTCAGTTAAAAAACTGGAGTCCACGTCAACAAAGTTGCGAGGATGAACTAATTAATTACTCATTTGATGAACTTTGTTTGGAAAAAAATTATCTGTTATATCTAGTACATTTTGTTTCCTATGGAAAATGCGCCAATCACCCTTGAATTTTGAAGCTCTGAATAATGAGGGAGGGATGTCATGTAACAAACGGAATAGTTCAGTTTCGTCATAGTTTTTAATATTTTATGGATTTTGCTGAGAATTTGCTAGATTTGAAAATTTTTCCAGTTGAAGTCAGGTGGCTTAAGAGACTAACTATAACAATATTCAACATACACTTCCTTTTTCATTTGGCATTTTGAGTTTGAAGCTACCATCATACCTCACGGTTGGTGACTTCCACAAGAATATAACAATAGAAAAGTAATCGATATAGGTCGAGTTGAGAGTAAATTCTATTCAAATCAAATAGGCCTAGTTATGATGTACTGTTTGGAACCTTTGGTGTAGTAATGGATATTACTGGAGTTTTTTCCCAACAACAAATCGTCATTTTTACACCTCGACACGTGTTTCGATCACCAAGTGATCATATTCAAGAGGAAGATAAAACTAGAAACTACTCAAAACTAAAGCTACTTATGCTATTCAGGTACATCATACAGGTAGGTAATCAGTAATACCACCCGTACGAGTGTACCACCCTAAATTAATTTTACAATTGGCCTTTCTATTATTTTACAATATGTCCTTATGTATGTTTAAATGTTACAGTAAACCCAACAATATTATTTCAACAAGCTATATTGTATGCAATTTGGTATTGGTCCGTTATCGTTATTATAGGCATCTAGTTGCCTGTTGTTGTTAACTTGTCTAACTAATCTTAATGAAGTGAAGTCTATGGAATGGTTTTGTTGCAAAATATGATGGGAACTCTAAAGAGTTTTTTATGGCCCAGTTAATTGTTTTTCTGTTCACGCTTATGTTATTGTATTATGTTTTCATAAAATCAGGTACCCACCTTCTTCAATAGCTTTCGAGATCTTTTCAGCGGATGATTTCGAAACATTTATCTGAATAATTCGTCCAGACATGAATTTTGCAGTTGCATCCACTAAATGTTTGATTGAACTTTCATTCTGTTGCTTCATGTTTGGTGCGAGTGTTTTATTTCTTATATTTTTGACTCCACTTGAAGTTGGAGAAATACTGAAAAAATATTTCCCATTGAAAATACATAGAATAAGTTATTGGAAAAAGATCATTTGAAATGTATAAGCCCTTTGAGTTACAATCCTGAATGAAATCTTTTTACCTAATTCGTCCTAGTATGGAAGTATATCTTTTTTAATTATTCAAATAGTATTTTTGACGAATCATTATTAAATATACATATACGCGTGGGGTGATCCAAAGACGAGTGAAAAAATATGTGTGAAAACAAATGGCTTTTCGAAATTATGAAAACTCCATACCTAACTCCTACACCTGGAAATATTTCTAAGTTCTTCTGATTAGCAGCAAGTTCCATAATTTTTATTGTTCTCCCCGTAGCACATCTGATTATTTCATTGATATCACCCTGGTCAAAACATTTTCCAATCATTTCCCCCAAGCCGAAGGATCCATCAGCCTAAAAATATTGGAAAATGAAATCAAAATTATTCGATACCGGCTCAAAAACTGAGATTGGATATTTATTTTTTCTCAGACACTTATGAAGATAATTTCCTCATTGAAAAATCTTTTTTGTCTTCTACACCCCTAATGTGAAACAATGTGAGAAACTCGATGTTTTTGTAATATATTGACAGAGAAATTGTTTTATTATATAATTTCATGTTGGGATACAACGTTCAATAAACTCATTGCAGTCTCGATTAATTAAAAAAAAAAATCAGGCGTTAGAGAGTGCTCAATGCTAATGAGTATTCAACCATGTTATCAGTGTCATTCTTGAATTGGTCAAAATTCGTATGCAGAGGTCATTATCAGGTACATATTACATAAGTACGGTTTTTACGGTTTTTTATTGATTATCGCTGTCAGTACATAAGTAATAGATATTTGCAACATCAACATGCAATTAATTATCGTTAATTGGTTTTTCACCTTTTCTATCGACTATATTAATTCCAAGTAATTTTTTTGCGCTATATTTTGAAAATCACACAATAAACTATATTGATCAGTTTTGTTTTTGTATAATTCATTGTTTATATGAAAGTAATTGTGTTGAAAGTATATTTTCTTTCATGTAATCCAATGTTTATATGAAAGTAGAAGGCTTTTTATTCCAGTTTCATTTTGGAATTGATTGCTTCCTTCCTTTCTTTGGAAGATTCTCACATTTTTCTTATATAAAGCGGAGAAGTCGAAAACCAAAACTTGTCTTATTCAAAAATCTCTTCTAAAAACATACCCCTTTCCAATTTGCAAATCATCTTTTGGCGGAAGGGTATGAGCTCAACCATAACTATGACAGAATTCTTTGAGATCAATATATATTAAAAAAAAAGATGAAGAATATAGCACGAAGAAAACCAACTAACCAATCAACTAATGGATGCTTAGGTCAAAAATATTATTTTCTTGGACCACCAGGAGTCTAATTTGCCAAATGACGGAAATCGTATATGGAATATAACAGTCGTGATATAGAAATCATTTTCCCAAGTATCCCAAGAAATTACCAGAATTTCTATTTCATAACATAATATCTGTCAAATTGTCTATCAATTGTAAAAATAACATGTAATTGTGGAAGAATACGAACAACGACAAATCTGGGGAAGGCTTATAACGCCAACTTGACCTTTGGTTTCAGTGTCATCATATTTATCGCGAACTCGGTCTATTGACCCTCCAGCAAAGGTCTTGCCATCGCCAAATTATAATAACTACCGAAATCAAGATTCGAATCTGAACATTTTTTTTTTTCATTTTTGGAACTCATCATAACCCTATATGTGAGGTCAATTCATTCACATNAAATATAACACCATGAACTATTTCAGTATCCAAATTGTTAGTTTCCTTCAAAGCAACTGACAACATAACTGAGGATTAAAATCAAATTCTCTTCACGAGTACCTATGGGCACGTTTCTCAATTTTGACAAGAAGAAATATGTTGGTATCACAAAGGCCGTTTTTTAGCAGATATTACTATCACCATTTTGGAAGCAGTATATCCTAGAATATGGATTAAACAGTAGATGCAATAGGCTGATATTCTGATATAGAAAAAATCTACGACCGTTTTCAGATATTTGCAAGAAAAATTTGAGTTTTTGTGTTTTTACTTTTGCGCCTTCACTTTCATTTCATTTTCATCATGATTTCATCATGATACGTGGTTGAACCCAACTTTGGATACGAGGTTCCAATCATTTAAATCCATAATCGATTTTTGTAGATATCTTAGGTTGAATTTTTATCATATTTTCTATTTCTTTCTTCACCCACAATTACCATAGAGTATGTAGAAGCCAAATTTAAAAAAAAACGAAACACGTCACATGTAAATTATGAGTGTTTATCGTTTTTTAACGTGAAAAATGTAAAAATGCCACCCCTACCTTCAACCCCCTTCGAATGACAGGTACAACCCCCAATTTTTTAAATGGGAAGTATAGGCTTGTGATATATCGTTTGAAAGGTCTCTTCATTCTCTATTCAAAAATGTTATCGCTTTCAAGTTTATTGCAACAATTAAGATAAAATAAATTAAAATCATATGGTTACCGAAATTCGATAAAATACACTCAAAAAATAAAATGTAATACAAAACGTAATAAAATGTAGAATACGCAAAAAATATATGGATGTTAACGAAGTAGATGTTCAAAATGTTCACCGCGAATGTCTTAGCAACATTCTAATTACAAATAAAACTGTCTCCGAACATTATTTAACATATCAGGCGTGACCGACCTAATCGCAAGCGTTTTTCGTTCTTTTAAGTCATTCAGATCTGAAGGTTCAGTTTTGTACACATTGCTCATTACATATCCACATGAAGAGGAATTTAATGATGAAAGATCAGGTGATCGCGCTGGCTATTCAATTGATCCTCACCATCCTATCCAACGATTGGTAAATGTTGTATCGAGGTATTGCCGGACTTGAATTGGTAATGTTGAGGTGCTCCATCCTGCTGAAACCATATCGTATTGGCAGCTGCTTTTTTCATTTGCTCCACACGACCTAGCTCGCGAAACTGCTCCTCTATTTCGCTTATTGTTCCTTGAGATATGGGCGGTAAATAAGGTCTCCTAAAATAGGCGAACTACTTCCTGTTGTGTTTGGCTTTCATCTTTGTAACCAATCATTTGTAAAACTGTTATTTTATGCATTTCCGTTAATCTAACCGTTTGTCAGACTTGAGGTTAACGAACTTCAAACATAAATTAAAATACTGTCAACCAATATTGTAACATACAAAACAAGTTGACATGGCGTTCTAAACTAACGTTGCTACGGAAACTATTTACAGTTTTTAAAAGATACTATCTAAAAAGAATAATGCTATGGTGTTTGCTTAATTTATTATTATCAATACCCCAACATGAAATGAGTTTTGAGTATATTGCAATAGGTTTTGAGTGTATTTTATCGAATTTTGGTAACCACACGATTTTAATTTATTTTATCTTGATTGTTGCAAAGCGATAACATTTTCAAATAGGGAATGAAAAGACCTTTCAAACGATATATCACAAGCCTTTACTTCCTATTCGAAAAATTGGGGGTTGTACCTGTCATTCGACGGGGATTGAAGGTAGGGGTAGCATTTTTCCTTTGAAGTATTTCGAATTATGAATTAAATTTGGGATTTTGGGAATTTCGGGATCTTGTTGAAATATGTATCGTAACCGAAATAATGAATTTATTCCAGTTGGCTTTTACCCACTGTATGTTGCTTCCGTGAGCAAATGAATATTGGTGTTATTATTATACGTATGTATTTTGTATGAATTTTGGTAGATAGTATAATTACAAATTCATTGTGTAATTATATTGTCTATTCATTGATGTTTCACAACTCATGTATTAATGAAACTTTTTTTTCAAAAACGTATTAATAATCATAATTTTTTCATCAAGAGCAAAACATTCCCAACTTTCATTGCTTGTACATAGTTAATTGATCGTAATATACCATGATGGAATAGTACGAGATCTGTTCATAAAAAAATCTGAATGTTTAAATTTCGTGGACTACGTATATTCGATAAGCGATTTTTTTTATTTTTTTTATGTTGGTGGTACACACGTGTCGATCACATGTTTATAGTTTTAGCTATTTAGCATGTTTACTCTTTGGTGAGAGGCATAAAAGTTAGAGGTGTTTGACGTGTTCGGCGATTTCCTGCTATCGAAAAGTATGAATCAAAGAATTTGCATCAAATTGCATCAAGGTCAAGAAGATGTGAATGACAACGCTCTCCCTGGACGCCCCAGCACATCGACAGTCAATGAGATTGTTGTGAAAGTGAAGAAAATTGTTATGGAGAATCGTCGAATCAGTATTAGATATGTTGCTTAGGATGTCGGCATATCGATTGGCTTGTGTCATGCAATGTTTTCGGCAATTTTGAAAATGAAGCATGTAGCAGCAAAGTTCGTTATGAAATTGCTGAATTTTGACCAAGAAAAACCATCGGATAAGCATCGCTCAGGAATTGTTAAATGACGTCAACGGCGATCTAATGTTGCTTAATAGAGTCACAACTGGTAACACCAAGTTCGATCAAATGTCAGGGTTTTGGTCGCTGTTTCCTTCGATTATCGTGGCATACTGTATCAGGAGTTCTTGCCACATGATCGTACATTCAAAAAGGAGTATTATCTTGAAGTTAGGCGCCACTTGCAAAAAGCAATACGAAGAAAATGTCTGGTATTGTAGATAAAAAATTTATGGTTTTTACATAACGATAATGCACCTGGTCACTCGCCATTGTTGGCCAAAAACAACACCGTAATCATGCATCAGCCACCGTTTTCATCAGATTCTACCCCCTGCGACTTCTTCCTATTCGCAAGATTGAAGAGATCCACAAGAGGAGGCGTTTTTCGACGATTGAAATGACGGAAACCGAATCGCTGAAAGAGTTCAAGGACATACCAAATAGTGCATCAGAACTGCTTCCAGAATTGGAAAATCTTTTTGTGAAGGAGATTCCGAACGAAAGTAATATTGAATTCCACAATAAGAAGTCATTCAAAAATAATTCCCCTCATTGTGTTTTATCCATTTCCAATAAAAATTGTTTGGTTATTAAAAATTAAAATCTGTCACCCGTCAGAGAGATTCGAACCAAAGATTTTAGTGTGTAACACCGGTGTTCTACCACTTACTTCATGAAGATGTATATATGTTCACATAAAAGTTTTTGAGTTTCAAACTGCTTTACCTTTTTCAAGTAACGAATTTTTGACAAACATCACTTACTTAGTTACATTTTAAATTCCTGGTGTGGCAAATTAATTTTTACTTTCCGATTACATGTTCTCATTTTTGTTTTTCGTTAAAAGGAAGTGTAATTTAAGTAATTACATTATCAAGGTTTATTCACAATTAAAAATGACATGATAAGTTATGAATCTTCTCAACTGTGGTTGGCCCAAATTTATGACTCACAACCAAAGTTGTGAGTCATGAATTTAATCAAGTGATTGGTTTGAAGTTGTGAGTATGAGATCAATACATTTTCACCCAACAAGAAACGGTCACATGCCTAATAATAGTCAAAGAAAGACAATTTCGAAAGAGAAAGTAATATAATAATAACTGCAGAAAATGAATATCATATCGCATGTTTCATGTAACAATTTTTAAGTTGAGTCTACATTAAATTTCAATATCGTCTCTGTTCAGTGAATATATGCTACAGAAATTGCTTTGAGCCCTTTTGGAGTGATATACACGCAGGGGATATCATTATTGTATCTTTCTACTTTTCAATATTTTCATATTTTTTCCGAAATGAAGACCCACAAAGGAAAATCTGAACGAAAAAAGTCACATGACGTGACGTTGAATAAATAAAGCAATTATTTTTTATTCACCTTTCTGTCTTAATCCAATTGGGATAAACACCCCACATTTTCTGGTATGATTCTGCTTACAGATAGTTTACAAAATATGGGGGCCAATGATTTTATTATTCAGAACACGAATCCATATCTCTCTCAAGAATTGCTAACCCTGATTATCTCTTAATTTTTTTGTCGCTAAGTATACTGTATATTTCAATTGATTCATCCATTATTTGTAAATGTACTCTCGTCGCACCATATTTTTTGCAAATTTCATTATCCCGGGAAAAATTTGTAGGTAGCTTTTTCCAAAATTTTTTTCAAGTTTTAGTCTGTCAAATGCGAATGATTTTTTGAATCTGTGAAACTTAGGTATATGAAGTAACATGAAAGTAATCGGATCATCGCATTAGAAAATGTTTCAATCAGATTCTGATCAATCTTAAATAAATCAAAACATATTTTTACCAACAATAATCTTGTTTCAATTGGAAGGGGTATTTTTCAGGGCAGGTTAGATTTTCAGAAAAAACTTTTTGGCTTACACTTCACCATTCCACAATGTTTTTGTATGAGAAGTGAAAGTCAGAAAGCTTTTTTGGCGATAACCAACTATTATGCCATTTCTACCACAGTAGGAACTGAAAAAGTGCTCTCTGTAAACAATTCTATGTATTTGATCAGAAATAAACGATTTTCTCATTGACCCCTTTAGGTTTTGGAGAGTGCTTTTAATTAAAATTGATTTTTTTTTCAAATAATCAACGAAAATTTTTCAAAAGAACCCTTATTGAATAACAAAAATTTGGAAATGTGCTTGACACGATAATGAAAATCCTTACCTTCACCGTTGCAATTCCGATAACACCAACTATAACAAATGGGTGAACAAACATTTTCATAGATATACTGAGAGACACTTGGACAATTGGATTTTCATAAACTATTTATATACAATGTAAAACCCCTCTTTGGATACTCCACATATTTGAATAACAAGTAAAAACTGTGTTGTATTCCAATGAGAATAACAAATAAAACCCACCCATATCTTCATGTGACCCGGTGTAAAAGAAGTGCAAGCACTCTTTTCTCCGAAGTGGTCCGGAAAAGGCTCTCTAACCGTTCTTTCCATAATTTCACGGAAGTTCATGTTTATTCTGTATTAATACCACATCACTACCATCAATAAATAAACATTTCAAAGAAATATTATGCATCAATAGCGATAAATTGATTATGACAAAGTTGATATTGAAAAATGTTTACTGAAAAAACTTGATCTGATGCCTCTTGTGAGAAGTCATTGATTTGCAGAAGGTTTTCGCAAGAATTACTAACCATTCATACAGTCTCCAGATATATTTTGTTTACTCTTATAGTGTTTGATCAGTTTTCACGTAAAGGGTGGTTAGAAAGTCATCTGATCCACACTGTTATCATATCAAGCACAAATTAATTCAGTAAGTATGGAAACGCTTCAGAAATCTATTCTATAGCGATACATGTATTGCGTATCGTCCATCACATATAGTAATAATTTCTGTGTTATTATTATGTTCGATTTACATATGTGATATATTTGTTTCATACAAAGAATATGTGGATCAATCGTTCATTTTACGTCACAGCACCGAGTGTCATTTTATTGAAAAATTTTGACTGAAAAAACTTGATCTGATGCCTCTTGTGAGAAGTCATTGATTTGCAGAAGGTTTTCGTAAAAATTACTAACTAATTAGGTTGTTTCCAAAGTTCTGTCTGTTATTTCTACTTCAAATTGCAATATCTCATTTATTACTCATTGAATTCAATCGACATAAGCGCTCGAAAAGATGGCGGAACTTTGATGCTCAATTCGTTTGATTTTCAGAGGGTGATTTTTGAAACGTTTCTGACAGGCTTTGTCGTGGAACAGAAATCGGACCTCTTCTGTTGACCAGTGTCGGCTGCTGCTGACGCAATTTTTGGTACATTTCATCGATTTTTTCACGATATGACTTTGATGTGATGTTTTGGCACAGTTGCAGAAAGTTATTGTGAATCACAACAGTCGCTGACTATCATGCAGTAACCATTGTATTTATTTGGAGGTTTTCGTTTTGAGAAGTGCCTGGGTTACTTTTCGGTGTACAAATATTGTCCTAAACATACCCTGTTGTCATTTATGTCCACTTTTCACCACACGTGACTATTCGATGTAAAAAAGAATCGTATTGGTTGCGCAAAAGCAAGGAAGAACACACTTTCGAATGTGCCGATCGTTCAAATTGAGGGGCACCTAGTTTTCAAGCTTTTTGACGTTTTTTATACGTTTCAAACCATCAGAAACAACATGGAAGCTGGCGCCCATCTCACGCACTGTTTGTGATGAGTCAGTCTCCACCAGGGTCCTCAAATCTTCGTCCTACAAAACTTTAGGTTGACCAACATCTTCGGGGCATCCTCGTTCTAAATAATTTTAGGTTGACCAACATCTTCGGAGCAAAAATCTCCGAAATGAAATTTCGCAAACCAACGTCGAACTGCGTTCATTAAAACTATGATTTCCAAATGCCTGGTTGACTTTTTCACCTGTTTCGGATTTTGTTCAGCCCAAAACATCATGTTCTGGAAAGATACAACACCATTCGTGGTAAAGGTAGCCTCATCACTGTATAAGATATACTTTAAAAACTTCCTGTCATTGAGTTAATTTCCCTGCAACCATAAACAATACTCCATACGGCGGATTTCATCTCCTTCGTGCAAAGTATGTAAAAACTTGGGTTTGAACGCATGCATTTTATGCCTCTTTAAACACCTCCATATTTTACTGCGGCTCATATTGAGTTGAAGCGATAAGTTTCTCAAATTGATTCTAGGATCAGCTTGATGAGCCGCCAATATCGTATCATCATCAATATGATGTTTTACAATTTTTCTGTTCTTCGTTACTTGGCCGGTGCTCACGAATAGATTACATATTTTATGTACAGTTCCAGGGTGTACAGCTTACCTCTAGCGGGTGTCTTTTATTAAATTCAGTGATCACTTCACGATAAAACCCCACCCCTTCACCAACAATTAAAACAATTTCAATTTTTGCTTGGAGTGACAGACGTGCCATGTTGAACTTTGTCAATCAAAATGAGCTGATATCAGTTAAAATGGGAACTTCAGGAATATTTAAATATGAACAGGAACTCACGAACTCACGAACAGAAAACAACTGGAACACAGGAACAATATCCAATACGAATACAAGAACAATGAACACAATGGGAACAAAAACACGACGGAAACAACAGGAACAACAACAGGAACAAAGAACAATAATACTAGAAACAACAAATGCAATGAAAACTGGTCTGGGGGTTAATACAACAAGATCTTTCAACAATATTGTCAGGTTGACAGTTAATATCAATGAGCAACTGTTTTCCATGGGGATTTCAGGGCACCGCATGATTTAATGAAACTGAAATTAATTATGACAAAGTTGATATTGAAAAATGTTTACTGAAAAAACTTGATCTGATGCCTCTTGTGAGAAGTCATTGATTTGCAGAAGGTTTTCGTAAGAATTACCAACTATTCATACAGTCTCCAGATATATTTTGTTTTCTCTTATAGTTTTTAATCAGTTTTCACATAAAGGGTGGTTAGAAGGTCATCTGATCCACACTGTTATCATATCAAGCACAAATTAATTTAGTAAGTATGGAAACGCTTCAGAAATCTACTATATAGCGATACATGTATTGCGTATCGTCCATCACATATAGTAATGATTTCTGTGTTATTATTATGTTCGATTTACATATGTGATATATTCGTTTCATACAAAAAATATGTGAATCAATCGTTAATTTTACGTCACAGCACCGAGTGCCATTTTATTGAAAAATTTTGACTGAAAAAACTTGATCTGATGTCTCTTGTGAGTAGTCATTGATTTGCAGAAGGTTTTTGTGAGAATTACTAACTAATAAGGTTGTTTCAAAAGTTCTGTCTGTTATTTATACTCCAAATTGCAATATCTCAGTTATCACTCATTCAATTCAATCGACATAGGCGCCTCTTGTCAATATATAACACCTGTCGAATAATTCCGTCATCATGAACATTGGGTGATCATGATCCGATGAAATCGACAAAGCCCGTTTTTGCCTGGTCCTGATTGGCGATAGTTCTACCGATGAGAAAGTTTTCGAAGTACTCGAAAAGATGGCAGAACTTTGATGCTCAATTTCGTTTGATTTTCAGAGGGGGATTTTTGAAACGTTTCTGACAGGCTTTGTCGTGGAACAGAATCGGACCTCTTCTGTTGACCAGTGTCGGTTGCTGCTGACGCAATTTTTGGTACATTTCATCGATTTTTTCACGATATGACTTTGATGTGATGTTTTGGCCCAGTTGCAGAAAGTTATTGTGAATCACAGCAGTCGCTGACTATCATACAGTAACCATTATATTTTTTGGAGATTTTCGTTTTGAGAAGTGCCTGGGTTACTTTTCGGTGTACAAATACTGTCCCTAAACATACCCTGTTGTCATTTATGTCCACTTTTCACCACACGTGACTATTCGATCTGAAAAAGAATCGTATTGGTTGCGCAAAAGCAAGGAAGAACACACTTTCGAANGTTCCACCTCGAATATTACGGAAGATACGGGGGTGTTTCCATAAGAAGTGAGACAAATTCGGATTTTTCAGGACTGAAATTTTTTCAAGAAAAAAGTGTAATCGTAGTAACTTGGTAGTCCTGATTATGAATCTGAAGGAATTTTGAGCCTAATTTGCCCCGTAATATGTTTTACCGTAAAAATGGAGTGTTCCATCGCGAATGGCGGACAGTGTATATCACTTTGGCCAACCCCATTCAGGTGTGAGCATTTCCATTATTCCAGAGAGTTTCATCGTTCTACCTCGAATATTACGGAAGATACGGGGGTGTTTCCATGAGAAGTGAGACACACTGTAAAGTAATGATATCTGTGTTATTATTATGTTCGATGTTACATATATGATATATTCGTTTCATGCAAAAAATATGTGAATCAATCGTTCATTTCACGTCACAGCACCGAGTGCCATTTTCTGGATCATCGTCAACAGCCCATTTGATACGGTTGTCATACAATTGCTAAAATTAGCGTGGACACTATAATTGATTATAGGGTATGGAAACAAAATTATTCCAACGTAGTAAAACGACACGCTTCCTATACCCGTTATTTCGTTCCGAATTGTAGTTTTCTCCAAATGACAGCAAGTTGGATGAAAACTAAACATTATATCAGATATTGAATCGTATCACTCCAAATAGACAGTGGTGGGTTCAGTCACAAATATTATCTATTTTTCAATCAGACAGAATATAAAGTATTTTTTGGCGTCGGTGATCAATGTGGTAAACAGAAGGAGTATCTGAAATCATGCATCCAAATTTATTTGTGAGAGTTGAATGATTTGAAAAACACCTTTTGATGACCCTATTCGATTTTGTGTACCTTCAATCAGTTTCCGTATTCAAAAATACATTTCAATGATTTTCGCTTGAAAGTTCACAAAACCGCGATTTTGTAAACTTTTGAATGAAAATCTGTCATTAAAGTTTGTTTTTTGAATAAGTTATAATGGATTTTCACCAAGTATCAGACAGTCCTATCATATTTTTCAACCAGTCTGTTTACCTTCATCATGATAGTATTATTTCCGTTAGATCGTTCTGTGAAGGTCTGAGATTGGCCACGAAATTGAGATATATAAAAACAAAAGCATGGTATTTGAAAATGTGCAAAGTAACCACTGACCCGTTAATTATTCATTTCTTTGATATAATGTCTTCTGGGAGCGTACTAGAGCAATAAGATGATTCTATGTGATTATTTTTGTTGATGATCTGGATGAATT